GGAAAAGGAAAAGGAAAAGGAAAAGGAAAAGGAAAAGGAAAAGGAAAGGGAAAAGGAAAAGGAAAAGGAGAGGAGAGGAGAGGAAAGGAAAAGGAGAGGAGATGAAAGGAAAAGGAAAGGAGAGGAAAGGAAAAAGAAAAGGAGAGGAGAGGAAACAAACAGGCGATTTGCAGCAAATCAATTGGTCAATTGTCAATTGCTTTTCCCTAGGCGCGCGCAACTTTTGAATTAATATTGGACCTCCCTCAAGTTTGGAGAAGCCCCTGAAAGCACTCAAGACGTCATTGTGTGGTCGTTCTGCCCATTCGCAATTAGCTGGCCTACCGTTCTCAGGTTGGTGTTGCAGGAGAAAGAAGTCCTGGTGAAATTGTCGTTGGGAGGCGAGCGCATCTACACAAAAGAGACCTATCACCAACAGTATGGCAGGGACCCTGCTGACGATGGCATCCAAGCAGAATCCTTCACAGCTCCTTCTGGCCAGCAGCTTCAGGTGTTCAAGGCCGGTGCAGAGTTTCCACAGCAGACCTTAGGTGTCCAAAATGAGAATGGTGCAGATTGCCCAGCCAGCAAAATGAGGACGCCTTCAATGATTAATTGTTTCTTGTTTGGCAGGTCTTCCATGGACTGAAAGATGCTTGGGAGCAGAAGGTGGAAGAGGTGAATAGGTGCCTGTTCCAGCGGGTGCTGGACTCAGGAGCTGTGTCGCTACCTGCCTGCGGTCACAGCGCCAAGTCATCTTCATTCTTAGTTGTGAGGGTTGCAAACCAGTGATAAGGAGGCAGACTTTTGTTGCGTCACTTCCTCCAGTCAGTCTTCTCATTGTTTGTGAAAGTTTCTCTTTCGTTTTTGGTAAATAGAAAAAGGAACAATGTTTCAATTCACAGATAACAGATAAAAAATATAGATATAATTCACGAATTTCTGCTTCCAGGCTGACGAAAGACCAGCAAACCTCACTGTTTGTGTCTCGTGACAAGCTGGTCACGAGCGCATGGGAAACCACCAATTTGGCAAAGGCCCCCCTGGAGAAACTAGACCGCTCCTCAGACGCAGACAACTTCCTGGCTGGATTAGAAGTATTCTGATGCTAGCTAGCGCCACTCGAATGTTGTCTTAAGCTGTGGAGTGTTTGTCCCGACGAGGCTTGTGTGGGATCCCTGGAGGACTTCCAGGGTGCGTGTGCTGCTCTGGATAGATTGCCAATTGACAATTGGCTGGAGTCAGTGTGGCCAGGTCAAGGCCTTGAGCACCAAGCTGCAGAAAGTGAAGGTATACGCGTCAAGTGTGCACGGCCTCAACCTCCTGTTCCACCGCTTTTTGCCAACAGGAACCGAGTGGAGCGCTCGGCATTGTGCCGCGAGCATCTTGGCATCAAAGGGACCCAGCCAGCGATTCTCTGGCAACTATGTTTTCAGCGCGCGCGCAAGCAGAGTCAACGTTTCGTGATGGAGATTGCAGTTGCGCTGTGGTTCTTTCGCGTGGTCCATGTGAACGCATTCGTGTTCTTTTCTTTTTCTGAGGTATCGCAAGACGCTTGAGCGCAACGGCGTCACAGTTTCAAAAGCACTGTTGCAGTGGCTGGAGGCAGCCACTGCGTGAGCACAGTGGACTGAGGTGGTGCTGTGGCAACCTGCAGCCCTTCTTGGAAAAATAGGTCAAAGTAAAAGAACCTGTGTTGTTGTTGTTGGGCAGGGGATCTTCAGTTGGCTGCAGCCTGCCACGTGTGCTCCCTGCTTCTCTCAAAGCTTTTTTTTGCAGTTGTGGGAAGTGCGTCTTTGCAATTTCCAATTGCCGAGTGTCAGATCTGCTAAGTCCAGCTCTACCGGCCCGTGTGACTACTTGTCTTTCAGCTAAATTTCCTCAATGTTGTGAAAGAAGTGTTGATGATGACAGTTTTGGGTTCTTCTTGGAATGTTGATGCTGATGCTATTCTTTTTTAGTTCTTTTTGCTTCCAGCCAGTCCCAACACAACCTCTAGTCAACCAATGTTTTGGTTGGCAGTGGCTGGCTCAGATTTTGGCTGGCTCAGATTTGACAGACCAAAAAGGTCTAGGGATCTAACCCAAGCGAGGGAACGCAAGGTTGTAACATGTAAGTAAGACTGTAAGAACAACCAAGAACAAAAGACAGCATGTATGTTCTTTCATCATGAGTTCAACAAAGTAGTCGTCTGTGTTCAACCACTCTTTGAAGCCCTCGCCTTGGAAAGCCCAAACACGCAGCACCAATTGTTGGCAGAAAAAGGTTTCGCGTGCGTTTGTTTTTTGTAAAAGTTGTGCCAGAACTCTTGCACCTTGGGACAAGTGTAGGGTAATTCTTGACCAACCTGACTCCTGGCAGGCCGTGACTTTATGGACAGCTTTGCTTAGCCAGGGCTAAAAAGAATCGCATCCCTTGGTTGGGTGGGAGTGTTTTTTGACGTTTTTCACCGTGCAAAAATGGTGCTCTGGTTTGTGCTCACTGTTACAGCTATCAGGCAACACCCAATATATATTTATATTGATGGTATATTATATAAAGCAAAGCAGTGTCTATCAGTGCCCAGGTCACAGGAAATGGCACAAGACAGTCCCTACCTGTAGTTGTTTGTGGATGTCCCCTTCGGGTTGGCGCGTGGAGTTTGATATCGAAGATTCCGGGAGTCTGGAAATTCCTGTAAATCCTCGCACGTCTTTCTTTTACACGGCGCTCGGACTCTTCAAACATCAAGCTTGATTTGGGTGGTGTGAGGGTAAGTCACAAATTGGACCAAAAACATGATTGGGCGTTCAGGTTTCATATATAAATAGAAGAGTGTTGGCATGTTGGAATCCTCAAGAAATTTCCCAGCACCGTCAAAAGACCCCGAAACATCGTGGGCGTGGCCGTTTGTTTGAAACATCGTGTGGCGTTTATTTTCCGGGATGCCAGGATGACTGAAGCCTTCTGCCCTGAGTACTGCGAGAGCGAGCAGGAACTCTTGGATCGCTTCGACAAGCTCGAGCCAGAGCATGGTCGTGTCGCGTGGTAGGGAAGGGTTGGTTTGTGTCTTGGAACAGGGAAGAACATGAACACACTTCTATTTTACTTTTGTTTTGTAAGCTGCATGGGAAATAGTGGAGTGAAAATGACATGTCAATGTCTTATTCTTAAACCGGGCAGATAGAGCCATCAAAGTCGCTGGGGGAAAACACAGCAGCTTCTTCATTCAGGTTGGTCAAAAGCCAAGACACGACCTGAAACGTTCCAAACACCCAACCTGGAGAAAATCATTTGGAGTCTTTGCAACCTGGGCCTCTCCACAACTCAGGAAACTGTTTTGGATTCACGTTCTTCACAACCATCCCTGGTCGGCAAGTATGACACCCAGCAAACTAGCACGCAGTCGCTGAAAGTACGAAACAAAAAGAAAACCATCACGCATCCAACAAAGGTCCCCAACCAATTCCAACAAACGAACAGGAAAGTACTGACAGACACCTCCCACACAAATCCAGTACACTCTCTGTTTGTTTTCGGAACATCCTCGCAGATTCCACTGTTTTGGGGATCCTCTTCCACATCAAGGTGACTCGACCACCGGCTGGGGCGTGGATCTACAAAGCCTGGGCCCACCCTAGGGGGAAGCCCAATGGGGATCCGTTGGAAGAAAACATCCGTCAGACACTCCATGCAAAGCCCTGTTTTGGAGCCCAAACATGGTCTTTTCCGATCACAGAAGTCATGTTTGGGTTCTAGGTATCCCTAGATCGAGCCTTAAAATCCACCCCAACTGATCGGTTGTTTTGGTGCGGAAGTTCAGAAGGGTGTAACTGGCAAGAAGAACAGTCCCAGGTTTCTAGAAACATGCAGGTTCTTGATGCTGTGTCCTTCTACCTGTAATCTTTGGAATGAACAAACACATTATCCATGTCCCGACCCAGGTCATTGCCTTCTTCCTGGTCTTCAACGACCTCGTCGTTCATCGGCTCGCGAACCTGGGACCTGGAGAAGCTGGTCGCGTCAGCAAACTGAAGGAACAGTGCGCCGGACCCCGGAACCGACACCGGTCGACTATTGCCCAACGCCCCAGATTGGGACTGGGACATTGCCAGTTGGCATCCAGAAATAGATGGAACCAGAGGTCAATCTAGGCCGTCGTGATCAATGCTATACAGTGTTTGGCTTGGCTATCTCCCCGAAATATGCCCCTTGTCTGGGACCTGGCAGAATCCTGACTCGCGAGAAACGGCCGACCGGGGTGGTTGAAGGGCCCGGGGTCTTTCTGGGGGTTGAAAAACAAGCAATTAAGGCCCAAGGTCATCTTCCATTTAGAAGGGCCCCAGAAAGACCTGTGACAAGGTCATTTTCCATCTTCCATCTTTCTTTCGGTGGCTGACCATTTGTGATTCGGAAGATTCGATCATCTTCCATTCTACTGGGGCATCACCCAGTGACTAGGCATGTGAAGCGCAGCGCTGAGCGACACACGGCACAGCATGGAAGCCTACGGGCCTACTTACCAAGTTACCCAGATGACTTGTATTTGTCGTGCAGTATGGCAATATTTAGGTGTATCATGGTGTGTCTCAAAATAGTACAGAGCAGTAATTGGGAGGGTCTCCTATTAAAAACAAATACAAATCTCAGGACCTTCCAACAGGTTGTTTTATGGACACCCCTTGACCTCGAACATGCTATTTATAGTGCTATTTATATCGATTTACAGACTCCTCTTGGATGGTCCTGGTGACCATGACACTGAGTAGGTGAAAAAGAGTGCAGGTCTAAACTCGCAAACCTCAAAAAACAGACCTGCACTCTTCCAGGGCTTTGCATGGAGTGGTCTGGTAAACTGGTAAACCTGGTCTGGGGTAAACTCGGCTTCCACTTTGTTCAGAAAGCCGTTCGATTCCTCCAGTTCACATCACCAGACCACCACCAGGTCGAAGGCTTTCTATGAGACATTTATTTGTCTGCGTGCGGAACCTGTAGACGTCCTATAGCTTTGGTGCTCAAGATGCCAATCCTTCGCGTAGACTTCGGCAGCGAAAGACTTCCAATTCTGCAGTTTCAAGGAGCAGATCTAACACATTTGATGATGGTTCTTGACCATTCGTAGCTCCTGTGGGAAGCAGCTCCTGTCGGCTCGAAGAGATGCTATTTGAGTCGGCTAGCCAAGTAGGTAACCATACCACACTTATATCCCTCGTCACCCTCAAATCCCAATGTGGGTGTCCTTAATGTGCTTGGTGTAGAGTGATTTCTATTTCCCTATTATATATATGGTATAATGCAGTGTGAACACTGTGTGCCAGAGTCCGTGAACCGACTCAGTCAAGAGTGGATCAAAGCGAAGAAAACAATTGGGCGTTGAAGGATTGCCGTGCCATCCCAACTTGCCCGCGTTAGCTAGAAGCTCTTGTGATTTGAGCACCTGTAAGCTGTTCCACCGCTTACATATGGTATATAAATCCCCTTCTGTGGAATATTCTTTATTTCTCACCGTAGACTAGTTTCGATCCTTCTGTGCCCGTTCCCACCAGGGCATCCAATTGGCATAAGGCAGCAGCCTTGAATCGAGCGAGCAGTTGCTGCTTCGTTGGCACCAGGTACGACCGCTGCTGGGGGCAAATCTCCTCCGAGACGTGCATCCAAGTGATGGACCGGGCACCCGCGCACCGATTGAAGACGCGTCGATCGGCCGTGGCCGGCGTGGGCCGCCGTGGCCGGCGCTGGAGCTGTCGGAGGGGTCGAGCGAAAGGGCGCCGAAGCACCGGGAAGACTCGGAGGACCATGAATCTTCCGAAGACCAGTCCCAGGCGGTGCCGTCCGCTTATTCATGATCCTTCCAGGGAGCGTCAATTGGAGTCCTATATATAAGAACCCAGCCATTGTTGACTTAGACATACTTAGACATACGGCAATTTCAAATGACATCATCGGCCAGTACTCGCTGAAGACAGAATGAGAGTCAACCACCGAATTGGGATGAGGGATGGACATGGTCTCCCAGCGGTTCATTTTCAGGGTCTGTGAAGTGTAAAGCCCATGTTCTACTTCCATCTCAAAAGTGAGATACAGCATGGAAAGACCCTTTTTTTTCCGTGAAGAACGAAAAAAACTGTTACCCTGGGTCCTGGGCTTTCCAAACCCGGTACTGGGTCCCTACCCATTCATAGACTCCAGCTACTCGTGATTTTCACCCCCTGGGCTCTCCTCACGAGCCCCGCAGCCGGGCCGCAGGAGGGCATCAAGCGGATCCGCTCCACTTCGTCAGTGGAGGAGGGGTCCCAAGAGGTGGACCCAGGGTTCACAGGGTAGATGTAGGGTTTGCCACCAGTCAACCAGTCAAGAAAAGCCTATCGCCTTATCACAGTTATTTGGTTATTTGAATTTGATATTCTTTTTGTTTTCTTGCCGCATCATCGTCATCATTCGCTCTTGGTATTTGGGATATACCCTTTCGCAAGAGGACCTTGAAGACGCCGGCTTCTGGCGATCGGTCCTTGGGTCTGCAGGGTGAGTCATACTCCTGTAAGAGGACCCTGAACCGGTCAATGTTTAAAAGAATCAATTGGTTTGAGCCTGAAAGGAGGAGAGGCCAAGAAAACTTCTTCTCAGAGGCACAGAGGACTTCCCTTATGCGAGAGGACAGGTTCTGGTTCTGTAATTGTTTGCTTGGACCGAGGTGAGCCCTCCTTTTTCCATGCGTTTGCCTTTACTGGATTTGACAAGGTGACCAAGACTAGTGACTACTTTCATATTCGGTTGTAGGCAGACTTGTTTTGGTGCCGAGACGAGACGTGGGAGGGCACCTAGAAACCCCTTTTTTCTCATCACCTAGGAACCTAGAGCTCAGACTTGACCTCTGTTTGGAGAGGACGTTGGACCCTATTTTCTGTGGTTGGTGGTCCAGGGTCGAACATAGACAGGCTGCTTAGACACTCAACAAAGAGGACGGTTGGCAATTAGGGTTGCCCGAATCCTGTAAAATACCGTTTCACAAAACAATTAGGTCTTGAGGAATTCCAACAGCATCCCCAAAAAAAAACACAGATCCGGGGAATTGGGGACACTGCACCCGAGATCGCCCAAAATTCCGTAGACACGTCGTTTGCTTGAATGTTCATGGGCCAACGTGGATGGCATGGCCCCGAGTGTAGAGAACCATGAAATCCGGTCTGACCATCCACACCGTTGGGGTGCCATCCACTTCCGTGACTCTTCCAAGCAGTGCAATGCCCTAGGGCTCCAACCACCTTCTGAGAAGATGGTTGGGGTGGGTTTGGGGGTCTAACCACCTTCTGAGGATATGGTTGGAGCCCTAGGGATGGTTCACATCTTTGGCAGTTGCCAGGATCGGCTTTCTGGTTCGGGCTGCCGGAACCATGCTGAAGATTTGATGCCCACAGTGGCTCCAACATGCTTCAACCCCCTCACCCTTGGAATAATATAGAGTAGCTTTATCCCGAACGACGTTGAAGATGAGTAGATGATAGGGGATGGAATTTCTTCTACAGAATCGCGGGGGTTGGGACCCCGATAAGTAGCCACTTTTTCTTGGCTCATATGGAGGTTGTAAAGTCCTGTCCTTCAAGATCCTCGATTTTATAGAGAATTGTTGTTTTTTACACGTTTGATTCTATAGAGGCTTATAAGTATAGCGAAGGGATTCTGGATGGTGCAGGCATACTGATTCTATAGAGAATTATTAGCATGGTTTTGCATGTTAGGAACTGCAATTCTATAGAGACTGATGTTTTTTTCAATGCCCTCAATTCTATAGAGCTGAATCTTTGTTTTTGAACTCTTTTCCTATGTTATCCTCAATTTTATAGGGTCAAAAAGTGACCCTCATTGGAGGGGGGTTTGGTCCCAGCATTTTAGCACTATAAAATCGCTACCCCCGAGGTACCCACTTAATTCCAACCCTATTAGTAGATGTAATATGAACCAATTCAACAATATGTCCAGTTCTTCATTGTTCTATTTTGGATGTCCCCTATACCATCTTCTCCGACTCTAACTCCATGCTATGAGGGCATCAATGTTCAGCATGTTCAGCTTGGGAGTTGAATCAGATTTCACTTCTCAACCCCTTGCTTGATCCAACGTCCCAAGGTAGTGTACTGGTCGGCCTGAACCCAGACGCTCCACGGGGCCGTTTTTCCATTGGGGTGCTTGATGGGGGGTCTTTCTGGGACTGGCACGGGTTACTTCTGCAACTGTTCACCTCAAAAAACCATGATCTCCACAAAGGCTTGGCTTCATGTTCTCTGTCATGTGCCGGCCTTTTGTCCGTGACCTTCGCGCTACTCTTCCCAAAACCCGCGGTTAGTCACGCGTTTCGGCTGGCCTCCAGCACGTCCCATCCTTCGGCGGGTTGAGTCTTCTCCAGCGGAGGGTCGTTGTTCTGCAGGAGATGATCAGGGAGCTCCTGCCACAGGTCCAACGCCGTGACTCGAAGAAAACGCCGTTGGATGGCCTCGATGGTTGGGACGCCGTTTGGGCCGCGGACCTTTGCGGTGGATGGAGGTGTTTTCTTTTTTGGTCAGAGCCAGAGCTATCAAGGACGTTTTAGGGCGACTTAAGTTTTTTCTGGGTAGTTGACAATTGGAAAGAACATGAACGAACTATATATAAGTGACTCTCTGGCCTTCCAAGACATTTTGTCATGGTTGTGCTGGTTTCGTTGTCTACAATCCTTGGACCAAAAAAGGGGGGTTGATGGTAAAGACTATTGCATCAATGATGGGCCAGGACGGCTAGGGGTGTGCTTGTAAGATCTTGTAGCTGCTTCACGTCAGGTCACTGGGTCATGGCACCTGGAGCCCGACGGTCCTCCACCGTGCCGGTCGCGAAAGACGACGATCGCCGGTAGCCGGTAGGCCCAGCAAAGTTTCTAGTGGTCCCCAAAGAGTATTCGTGGCACGTTTTCCAATACATGTTCAGTGGGGACTTCCTTTCCTATCTATTGGCTGACTGGTGCTTAGTAGAGAATGAGGGAATGAGTCCGGGAATGAGCCCCCAATAGAGATTCCTTTGGATCCATTCCCTCATTCCCTACGAGTCGCACCAGTCAGTTAAGGGGGTCTATATACCAAAGTTCCCTGGGACCCAACATCTGTTGAAGGTCGGGGACTGGGGACGCCATGGAGAACGGGATCCCTGGACCAAGGGATTGCTGGTGCCATGACCCAACGCAGATCGCGGGGAATCGATTCGCTTACCGCGGCCAGAGGAGCTGAAGACTGGAGCCAGGGAGTGGGAGACTGGAGACTGGAGGAGCTGTGGTTCTCTGTAGCTTGACTTTCCAGGTTTGGTATGAATTGACGCCCAGGAGCCCTTTTGATTTCAATGAATGAAGTCAATGAATCAAGGAGCTCCATTGGCATAGCTGTACTACTGCCCATAAAGATCAACATGTTAACCTAACCTTGGTGGCCCTCTCCGAACCTCCATTGATAGCAAGGTGGTTGACTTGCTCCTCGTCACTTAAATAGGATTGGGATGAGCTGATTTTAATTAGGACTCAGATCAGATCAGGGTTCAAGACGTTGAGATATAGTTATATAAGTTATATACTGTACTTGTTTAAGACCTTTGGAAAGGGGTACCCCCAATGTTCCATTGCCATAGCATAGGAGGGCATGGGAGGGCCAGCCCTTTAGAAACTCGGTTCCCTTCCGTTCCGAGCTCGGATTTGTCTTTTTGGAGCAGCCAAATGACATCCTTTCATCCTCCCGACTCGTCCCGACTCGTGGTGTACTTGACAAAACGCACCGGCAAATGGATCCACGGAGGAAGAATCATCGGGAGTCGTTTCAGGGTTGAGGTAGAAGGGCCAAGACGTACACGTCCTGGAAGATAAACATAGACGATAGAGCATGATAGACTGATAGACCCTAAAACAGCTGGATTGTAGATGAGAAGAGTCTTCCAGGGCTCCATTTTCACGGTCCATTTTAGCCTGCAGCGGGGTAGGGCTAACCTAGTGGCTTGCCCCCCCCTCTCTGTAGCCAAGAGTGGCGTGAGATGTCGCAAGGTGAAGATGTCGTGGAGCTGTTGCTTTGGGCGTCAAAGCATGGCCACAACCCCAAGGCAGGACGGCGCGGCAAGATGTTGGGTTTACTTCGGTCAATCGGTTTTGCAGAACTGATATAGTCCCTGCAATCATCAGGGCTGATCATCAGGGCGGACGTGGGACGTTCCATGGCCGAGTCTTTCGACTCAGGACCAGTCCCAGGTGGTCTCACGGTTTCATCGGATTCGATGGTTTCAGGGAGTGTAGGGGGGGATGGAATGGACAGGGAGTGTAGTGTACTGTGTGGGAGTGTAGGGAGTCCCAGGGATGGTTTCAGTGTTTCAAGATGTTTCAAGTTGCAAATGTCCCCTGGTGGCAATTCAACATGTGAGGAATGGACAGGCAGGATGTTGGATGGTCACACTCAACCCCATGATGATGGTGATGGTGATGGTGATGGTGATGGTGATGGTGATGATGATGGTGATGATGATGATGATGATGATGATGATGATGATGATGATGATGATGA